CCAGCAGAGAGACACCTGAAAGAGACCAAGGCGGAGGCTGTCCTGCAACTTGGAATTTTTTAAACTTGCCCGATGCACAGCCTTCAACACTTGTTTATGTTACCCCTCAATTTATGGGGGGCGGGGGGGAGGGCACGGGAGGTGGGGTAAGAATAATCAGGACGGCTGCTCCCAAAATATCTCCAAGAGAAAATATTTCCTTGGAGACTGGTGGTGAGAGTCCTAGGCCTGCACAGGCAGAAACCCCACTTCCCTTTCCTCTTTCAAGCCTTCGGGCTTCTTCAAGTTGTCCTCCTTTCCCACCTCCTGCCCCGCGCACTCCTCTAACCCCTCTCCTCTTTGACCCACTCTCTCCTTTCGCTTTGATTCCCCCTTTGCAGCGCCCGCGTTTAGGGCTGGCACGGCTGGGTGCTCGCCGGCGCTGGGCTCCCGGGGGCCGGCGCACAGCCGGGCGCTGGGGCAGACGCCTTAATTCCCGCCGGACACCCCGCGGGCCTGGCCCTCCTGTCTTTTCTTTCCCGGCTCCAGTTCTCCTCTCTCTGCAGGACACAGAGGAACTGAGCCAAGTTCAAAGTCACGTCGCCGTCCCCGCTTAGAAGTGCTTTATTTCAGTACAAACCGCAAAACCCCTTTCCCTTATGACATTTTTTTTTTTTTTAAGAAGGAAAGGGAAGAAAGAGAGAGCAAGGGGGAAACAACAACAACCGCAAAGGCTTTCGGAGCTTCTGCCTCAGTAGTAGGTTTGGGCTCCTTGGCAGGAGGAGGGGAAAGCCGCCAAGCTCCTCGGCGTAACTCTGTAAATTCAGTTTTTCAACAGGTTTTTGGAAGGCTGGCCCTTCCGGGGTCACCTATGGGGCCCACAGCTGTCCCCACTGACAGACAAGCCCCCCTCTCGGTTTTCCAAAATCGTTGGCACCCACTGAGGCTGCAGCCTGGGATGGCAGAGAGCTTCTGTTGAAAGTGGCTTGTCCCTCGCCTGGAGGGGCCCTGGGCAGGCAGGCAGATGTCCATTTACTGCGTACAGAGGGATGGGCAGCGGGAGGGAGATTTTGGGGTGTCTTCGAAAAACAGAAAATCCCTTCCAACATTGGGGCACCGGCCACAGAGCGCTTCCTTGAGGTGTGTGTGCCGTGTGAATGGTTGACTAGGTTCTTTTGTGTGTGATGGGTATTTTGTGTCCGTGTCCACACAAACAGTGCGTGTGCACACAGCGCAGGTCTGTCGGTGGCCAGGGGAAGCCAAAAACACACAGGCACACAGAATCAGCCTTTCCATTAGCAAGCAGAAACGCCTGGTGACCCTCCCATGTGATTTTTTTTCCCCCATTTTCCTCTTAAGGGGTAGAAATGGAGGGGAAGACACAGGATAAACCACGGGGAATCAGCCATCTATATACCCCAGATTTAAAGAGAGAGGATTTCACAGGATTTCAACACCATCCTGTGTGTCGGACTCATAAATTCAACAAGATCATCAGGAGGATATTAAGTTGCAGGTCACCTTTGATTCAGCCCTCTCAGTCACTCCTGGGTTGGGTGACCTCTGAC